GAGGTAGGCGTATGAGGTACGCGTATGAGGTATGTGTATGAGGTACGCGTATGAGGTACGGGTATGAGGTATATGTATGAGGTACGCGTATGAGGTATGCGTATGAGATATGCGTATGAGGTAGGCGTATGAGGTATGTGTATGAGGTATGCGTGTGAGGTATGCGTGTGAGGTATGTGTAAAGTATGCGTGTGAGATATGCATATGAGGTATATGTGTGAGGTATGCGTGTGAGGGTATAAGGTATGCGTGTGAGGTATGTGTATGAGGTACGCGTATGAGGTACGCGTATGAGGTACGTGTATGAGATATATGTATGAGGTATGCGTATGAGATATGCGTATGAGGTAGGTGTATGAGGTATGTGTATGAGGTATATGTATGAGGTACGCATATGAGGTACGTGTATGAGGTATATGTATGAGGTATATGTATGAGGTACGCGTATGAGGCAGGCATATGAGGTATGTGTATGAGGTACGCGTATGAGTATGCGTAAGAGGTACATGTATGAGGTATGCGGGTGAGATACGGCATGAGGTATGCATATGAGGTATGCGAATGAGGTATGTGTATGAGGTATGTGTATGAGGTATGCACACCCTTCCTTTCCAGCCGGTCCGGTGTGGATCAGCTCCAGAGCTGGGCAGCCGCTTCCCTGGTGGCGGGGCCGAGGCCGCCGCCCGGAGGAGCGCCCACAGCTTTCCCTCGCCAGGGCCGGGCGGTGGCGTCTTGCCCTGCGCCGCGTGGCCTCCGCCTGGCAGTGCGCTTCTCGGCACGAGGCAGCCGCGTTGCCCAATGAGCCCTGCCGGCCTGGCGAGGGGAAGGCAGCGAAGGCCCTGCCAGGCCGGGGTGGAAAACCCGCTCAGCAAGGGGCCGGGGAAGCCTGCGAGCTGCGGACCGAGCGCGCCGGGAGGCAGAGATTCGTCCGAAGCCGTCCGGAGGAGAGACGGCTGGTCTGGGCCTCCCCCAGCTCCCTTTTCCTGCCGCTCAGCGGCCTCCGCTCGCACCGCCCGGCCTCCGCTCAGGTGTCCGGCTGGAGTTGCTACTGCCGGTGCAGCTCCAACCCCGCGTTACCTCAGGAAGGGAAAGACTAAACCGGGAGCCGCTGCTCCTGAGCCTCCGGTGCCGCTGCCGCCATTGCAAAGCGCCGCCGCGGCTCTTCCTTTTCCTTCCCGAGGCAACGCCGGACTGGAGCCGTGCCGGCGGTAGCGACTCCTGACTCGGGGGGGCCCCCCCGAGGGGAGGGGAAGGAGGAAGAAGGAGGGGATTCCCCCCAAATCGGAAGAATATCCTGTCTAGTAGGAGGATCCTGGGCTGTGGGGAACGGACCGTTGAACAGCTGCCCGACGTACCTCCACAGAGCAGGACAGGGAGGGCGACGCTTCCTCGGCGACTCGGCGAAAGAGATCTTCACAGAGCTGGAAGGAGAGAGCGAGAGAGAGAAGGGGGGGGATCTAGCTCCACATCCCAGCAAGAGACGGCGGAGGGATTGAGGTCGAGCAAGCAGGGGAGAAACCGACAACCGTTGGAAGCCCGTCCCCCCGCGGAGCCCCGGGGTCCCGCGGGACGCCGACCCCTCATCTCCAGGCACCTGAGGGATGATGCCCCGCTGGTCTTTCTCTTGTTTCCCCATCATGGTGTACGACTTGCCGGCTCCCGTCTGCCCGTAGGCGAAGATGCAGACGTTGTAGCCCTCGAAAGCGTGGAGTAACATCTCCTCGCCGATGTCCTTGTAGACCTGCTGCTGGGAAGCAAAGCGGGGGTCGTCCTCCTGCAAGAGAATGGGGGTCCTCACTCGGGGAGACGGACGGACGGACGGACGGATGGACGGCGTCCGGGTTGGGAGGGAAGGACACACACACACACACGCCCCGCCCCGCCCCGGACCCCCAAGCGACACTCACCGAGGTGTGAGACCAGTAGGAGTAATCGAAGGTGAAGCTCTTGGGGGCATCCTTGGCCTGCTTGGGGTTGGCGATGCCTGCGTGGGGGACGAAAGAGAAGGGAACCCCCCTGCTACATCCGCCACGGCCGAGGCGGCGTCGGCGGGAGGGCACAGCTGCCTTCCAGCGCCGCGGGACGACCCGACTTCAACTACCCGGGCCGCCAGCAGCTGCATCCGGAAGGCCCAACGAAGAAACAAGGACGAAGAGTCCGGCCGCTAACGGCTGCCCTAGATGAACACCTCTTAAAAGGGTAACGCTTGGGTGGACCCCCTTCTTCGTCTAAAACCGGCAACCCCAACGCGGATTCGTCTACGTTGCCTTAGGGTCCATCAGCTTGACCGCTGGTCAATGCCGTAACCGTAGCCCAAAGCAGCCTCCCTCGCCCGGCCTGAGAAGGGGGGGGTCCACAGAAGTTTTACCCTTTTAAGAGGTGTTTATCTAAGGCGGTCATTAAAGGGAGAATTTCTCTCTCTCTCTGTCTCTTTCTCTCTCTCTCTCTCCTTGCGTCCCGTCTTCGTTGTAAAGTTCTCCGCGCCGTTAAGATCGATTCGATCGTTAGATATTCGCCTACCACGTATACCTCTGTATACGTCTCGGATATAAACCCCGGTTAAACGGTAGCCACCCTGCAAATGGTCTGACGGGTCTCGGATAGCTACGGGGAGGGAAGTGTGCCAGACCCCACCCTCACCCTGCCCCTCCGACACGGACGTAGCCCTGGAATCCGGTCGCGAACGGCGACCGGAGGTCAAAGCAGGACTCGAGGACTCCTTTCTCTACGAGGGAGAGGTAGACTGCCCCTGAACCCGGAGGCTCCGCTCCGATCTTATTCACAATCGCGTCGGTTTTGGAAGCCAAACCAGAGCGCCAAGGCTGGCCAATGGCGCCGAGAGTTGTACGCCCGGGGGCCCCTTTCCTTACAGACCCCCACCCACCCCCGCGCCTCCTTCAGTCCTCGGGGGAGCCGGCGGGGAAACTCACAGGTGGTAGGTCCTTGCATCTGGATGACGCAGGTGGCGGCGTGGCTGAGCTCCCGGGCGTTGAAGGGCCTCACCCGGACGGCCACTTTGACGGACGCGCCGGCCATCCTGGCTCCCTC